TAGCTGGCAAACCTTCTTTGAAATGTTCTATTGCTATTCGATAATTTGCTATAGCTTTTTCATATTGTTGTTGATTAACGTAACAAAATCCAATATTCATATAACAAGTGCCAAGATCTATGTCATTATCGGGTAACATATTCTTGACTCTTTGTAAACTATCGAGAGCACGTTCATATTGCTGTTTGTCTATACATTTACAAGTAAGGTGAAATAGATATGATGAAATCTCCGTTCTATGATCACATGTGACAGAACTCTTCATGCACGTTACATAAGTGTCAAAGTATTTCTGGTAAAATTCCGCACTTAAAGCATATTCGGATTTTTCACGATAATTGAATCCAATTATTCTGTAACACTCGGCCAGTGTACAACGATTATCCGAGGGAAAGGTACATTCTATTCTTTTTATTGCAGCAATACAATATTCCATCAATTTACCATAATCACCTTGGTTTTGATAAATTTTAGCAGTATTAGACTGACATTGAACAAAAGATTCTTTAACATTGAATTGATACTCTTGTTTATCCGACATATGTTTTCCATATATTTCAATTGCTTTCCTGAAATGTTCTATTGCTGCATCTAACATGCCTTTTTTATCGTAAGCAACGCCAATATTTTGATGACAAAAGCCAATATTAACGTTATTCGCTGCTAAAAGTCGTTGCCGAGTTTTTAACGATTTCATGGTAAACTGAAGACTTTTATCGGGATCCCTATTTAAGAAAAACAAACCGATATCAAAATAACATCCAGCTTCGTTTTCTTGTACTGTTAAGTCCCATGTGATTTCATCCCTGCTTAATGCTTTCATTGCAAAATCAAGTGCATCATCATATCTATTCTGTTTTGCACCATTTGCAGCGATATAAGAACGACCTTCTCCGTACCGCCGCTTAACATTAAATTCATCTTTTCCTTTATCCCACAAATGTTTTCCATAAATTGCTTTTAATGTATTAACAATTGCCTCAGCTCCTTCTCCATATATTTGGTTGAGGGAAAGCTTAACGGTAGTAAGAGTTTCATTCACTTTCACAGCATCAGCGACTGCTTCAACTCCTTTGCCGGATATTTCGTTGTATAGAAGATTAAGAGTAGTAAGAGTTTGATTCACTTTCAATGCATCAGCAAGAGCTTCAGCTGCTTTCGCAGATATTTGGTTCTCCTCAAGATTAAGAGTAGTAAGAGTTTGATTGACTTTCAATGCATCAGCGAGTGCTTCAGCACCGTCCCCATATATATGATTCTTTTGAAGATCAAGAGTAGTAAGAGTTTCATTCACTTTCAATGCATCAGCAAGTGCGTCAGCTCCGGTGCCAGATATTTGGTTGCTTTGAAGACAAAGAGTAGTAAGATACTGATTGACTTTCAATGCATCAGCGAGTGATCCAGCTCCTTTGTCAGATATTTGGTTCCACCTAACATCGAGATTAGTAAGAGTTTGATTGACTTTCAACGCATCGGCAAGTGCTTCAGCTCCTTTCGCAGATATTTGGTTGTTTTCAAGAGCAAGAGTAGTCAGGGTTTTATTGACTTTCAATGCATCAGCCAGGGCTTCAGCTCCTTTGACAGATATTTGGTTGAGGGAAAGATTAAGAATAGTAAGAGTTTGATTGACTTTCAATGCATCAGCGAGTGCTTTCGCTTCTTTGGCGGATATTTGGTTCTTTTGAAGATCAAGAGTAGTAAGAGTTTGATTGACTTTCAATGCATCAGCCAGGGCTTCAGCTCCTTTGAGAGATATTTCGTTCACACGAAGCTCAAGAGTAGTAAGAGTTTCGTTGGCTGTCAAAGCACCAGCCAGTGCTTCAGCTTCATTAGCAGATATTTGGTTGTTTTGAAGATTAAGTGTCGTAAGACTTTTATTAACTTTCAATGCATCAGCGAGCATTTGAGCACCTTTGGCATATATTTGGTTGCTTTGAAGATTAAGCGTAGTAAGAATTTCATTGGCTTTCAATGCATCAGCGAGTGCTTCAGCTCCTTTGTTAGATATTTGGTTGTTTTGAAGATTAAGCGTAGTAAGAGTTTGATTGACTTTCAATGCATCAGCGAGTGCTTCATCTCCTTTATCAGATAGACGGCTCCATCTAAGATCAAGAGTAGTACGAGTTCGATTGACTTTCAATGCATAAGCGAGTCCATCAGCTCCTCTCCGAGATATTTGGTTGTTTTGAACGTCAAGAGTAGTAAGAGTTTCATTCACTATCAGTGAATCAACGAGCGCATCAGCTCCTTTGTCAGATATTTGGTTCTCTTTAAGATTAAGAGTGGTAAGCGTTTGATTCATTCTCAATCCATCAGCGAGTGCTTCACCTCCTTTATCAGATATATGGTTCCAACTCAGATCAAGAGTAGTAAGAGTTTGATTGACTTTCAATGCATCACCGACAGCTTCAGCTCCTTCGTCAGATATTTGGTTCATAGAAAGATCAAGACTAGTAAGAGTTTGATTGACTTTCAATGCATCAGCGAGTGATACAGCTCCTTTATCACATATATGGTTGCATCCAAGATCAAGAGCAGCAATTGTTTGATTGACTTTCAATGCATCAGCGAGTGATACAGCGCCTTTATCAGACATGTGGTTGCATCTAAGAACAAGACTAGCAATAGTCTCATTGACTTTCAATGCATCAGCGAGTGCTTCAGCTTCTTTCGCGGACATTTGGTTGAAGTAAAGATTAAGAGTACTAAGAGCTAGATTAACTTTCAATACATCAGCGAGTGCTTCCCCTCCTCTATCAGATACTTGGTTCCTTTCAAGATTAAGACTAGTAAGAGTTTCATTGACTCTCAATGCATAAGCGAGCCTTTCAGCTCCTTCATCAGATATTTGGTTGTCTGTAAGGTCAAGAGTACGAAGAGTTTGATTCACTAACAATGCATCAGCGAGTGCACTAGCTCCTTTGTCAGATATTTCGTTCCGTTCAAGATTAAGAATGGTAAGAGTTTGATTCATTTTCAATCCATCAGCGAGTGCTTCACCTCCTTTATCAGATATCTGGTTCAATTTAAGATTAATAGTAGTAAGAGTTTGATTGACTTTCAACGCCTTAGCGAGTGCCACAGCTCCTTCGTCAGATATATCGTTCCCACAAATGTCAAGAGTAGTAAGAGTTTGATTGACTTTCAATGTATCAGCGAATGCATCTGCTCCTCTATCCGATACAGCGTTAAAACTCAGATGAAGAGTAGTTAGGCTTTGGTTGACTTTCAATGCGTCTGCGAGTGCTTCACCTCCTTTTTCAGATATTTCGTTAAACTGAAGATTAATAGTAGTAAGAGTTTCATTCACTTTCAGGGCATCAGCGAGTGCTTCAGCTCCTTTGCCACATATTTCGTTGTTTTGAAGGTCAAGAGTAGTAACAGTTTGATTGACTTTGAAGGCATCAGCGAGTTCTTCAGCTTCTTTGTCAGATATGTGGTTCGAAGAAAGATTAAGAGTAGTAAGAGTTTGATTTACTTTCAATGCACCAGCGAGTGCTTCACCTCGTTTACCAGATATTTCGTAGGTTTCATGATGAAGAATAGTACCAGTTTCATCCAGTTTCAATACATCAGGGAGCGCTGCAGCTCCTGTGGCAGATATTTCCTCCTCTTTAAGATCAAGAGTCGTAAGAGTTTGATTGACTTTTAGTGCAGAAGTGAGTGTTTTAGCTCCTTTGGCCGATATTCGGTTAAATTTAAGATAAAGAGTGTTAAGAGTTTGATTGATTTTCAATGCATCAGCAAGTGCATCTGCTCCTTTGTCAGATATTTGGTTCTGCTGAAGAATAAGAGTGGTAAGAGTTTCGTTCACTTTCAATCCATCAGCGAGTGCTTCAGCTCCTTTATTGAATATATGGTTCCCACAAAGATCAAGGGTAGTAAGAGTTCGATTGACTTTTAGTGCCTCACCGAGTGCATCAGCTCCTTTGTCAGTTATTTGGTTCCAAGAAAGACCAACGGTACTAAGAGTTTGATTGGCTTTCAATGCATCAGCGAGTGCATCAGCTCCTTTGTCAGTTATTTTGTTCATACCAAAATGAAGACTAGTAAGAGTTTGATTGACTTTCAATGCCCGAGCGAGTGCTTCAGCTCCCTTCTCAGATATGTGGTTCGAACAAACATCCAGAGTAGTAAGCGTGTGATTGACTTTCAACGAATCAGCTAGTGCTTCAGCCCCTTTGTCAGTTATTTCATTCCCCAGAAGATCAAGAATAGTAAGGGTTTCATTGGCTTTCAAGCCATCAGCCAGTGCTTCAGTTCCTTTGGTAGATAGTTTGTTGAAACAAAGATGTAGAGTGCTAAGTGTT